CCGGAGACGTCTCCGACGGAGATAGACCAATAAAAATGCTTTGTTCCTCTAGACTCTAGACCAAGTAAAAAAATCTGGGCGGTTACAAGGGAGCATGTGTTTTAACTCATAATTTGATAATTTGCAGTTAAGTTTGAAATTTTCTTGAAACTAATCAGATGGCGTCAGTCTCGTTTAAATGGGCAAGGGATTTTTTTTTTAAATTGAAAAGGGATCCGCTGTGTGTGACGGCAGTATCTATTCGGAGACGTCTCCGACAGAGATAGACCATTCAAAATGTTTTGTGCCTCTAGACTCTAGACCAAGTAAAAAAAAACAACAGGGGAGTTACGAGGAGGGGGGGAGGGAAGCATGACCCCCTCTTTTAACCCATAGTTTGATATTTTGCAATAAGGTTTGAAATTTTCTCGAAAATGATTGATTTGCAACAGTTTTAGTAGCTAAAGGTGAGATCTGTAGCAAACATTATGCAGTTTGACAACCCCCCCCCCCCCCACACACAAAGCAGTGCCTCTGTGTACGGGAGTGCGTCTCCGAATAGTTCATGGGTGCTCTCCGGAGACGTCTCCGAAAATCTTCTGTCCCTGCACGGCCCTACACGGCCCCTCCACGGCCCCTGCACGGCCCCTACACGGCCCCTACACGGCCCCTACACGGTCCCTACACGGCCCCTACACGGCCCCTGCACGGCAGACACCTGCAGTTAACAAGGCTTTATTTAAACACATGAAAAATACAATAACCCTTGTTAACACCTCTAAGGTCGCTTTTACGGACAAGCGGGCTAACCCAGATTTCGGGGGTTTCCAGAAATGTTGAACTTCACCAAAATTAAGCATTGCCCAACCTATAGAAGAAGTCTGGTTTCATTGGTGTGTATATTTGTTTGGTTGAAGAGAAAACCCTCCTTGTCTTTTAATGAAACTGAACAAGGGGCAAAAACTTTACCTTCGATTTTCTCAAAACAGCTTTTTGCGGGATAGCCCCTTTGAGCTTAAAAACAGCCAATATTGGTTAGTGTTTGAGCGCTCCATAGGCTGCTTGCACTGTGTGCTTCCCGGGAAGACGAGAATGTTTCTGAGTGTTCTAGGGTATGGCTAGGGTAACAGTAGTGTTTGGTTAGCGTATAGAGGAACGCTGTACAGCATGTCATTTACGGTACCTGAATGCAGTTTTTTCTTCTTGTTCTTGTTCTTGTTCTTCATCTTCTTGTTCTTCTTCTTTTTCTTCTTCTTCTTCTTCTTCTTCTTCTTCTTCTTCTTCTTCTTCTTCTTCTTCTTCTTCTTCTTCT